AACAAAATGTATCTCTGATAAAAAATCCCATGCTTAAGTGAATAAAAAGAAGAAAAAAAAAATTTAAAAGAGGAGGAAAATATAAAATATAAAATATAAAAAAAATAACAATAAAAATGATAGAATTTGGAAATTTGAATTTAATTAGACACCAAGAAACAAAAAATTAGCAATGCTAATCAACAACCCTAAAAAAATCTTTTTAATGTTTTTTTTAATAACCTTAAACAAAATTAACCATATATGACAGTCAAATATTTTTTCCAAATCACTTGGTAGCAAATCTATATAATCACAAAAGATTAGACAAAAGAACATAGGTCTAAAAACTAATTTCATTTAATCCAATAACAATAAAAAATGATAAAATTCTATTTTGAACTAACCCAAAATTATAGAAAGAGGATACCATAAACTAATAATTAGCCAAAGGAAACTCAACAAAAATAAAATAAAATAAAAATTTGGGGCTGAAAAATATTTATGAACTATTTCCTCCACTTACTCACCAACCAAACATGACAGAATTTTTTTGGTAAAAACTACTAATTTATGGACTAATAAATATTTATACCGATTCAAAAAAGTCTTCAAAATTGAAACAAACAAAAAATAAATATTACACTCACTGTGTAATTCCATTCCATGTGAAACAGGTCCATACTCTCACACTATTTAATTTCATTTTTAGAACTTATTTATTTTTAAATTTGACAAAAATAAAACTCAAACAAATATTTTCAAAATTTTAAAAAATATATTTATGATCCAAAAATAGAAGATCTTAGAAAGTTTTTTGTAAAAAAAATCTTAGAAAGTTTTTAGAAAATCTTAAAGCTCAAACTTAATGATTTAACACAAATCAAACTCTAGCATAGAAACAAAACAAATCTGAAATCTATATAAACAAATCCAACACTCTGTTTTTCTTTTTGTGAGTGAAGCACAGAGAAAAAAAAGAAAACAAAAAGAATTCTACGAAGCTTTCAATTGATGGAAATGACTCAGCATGGTCCAGCTTTAATTTGCATGTTTGAGTGAAACAAAAAGAAAAAAAAATACTCTGAAGCTTAGAAAGTTTTTTGTAAAAAAAAATCTTAGAAAGTTTTTAGGACACAAATCTGAAATGATTTAACAAATCCAAATCAAACTCTAGCATAAAAGCAAAACAAATATGAAATCTATATAAACAAATCCAACACTCTGTTTTTCTTTTTGTGAGTGAAACAAAAAGAAAAAAAAGAAAACAAAAAGAATTCTACGAAGCTTTCAATTGGTGGAAATGATTCAGCATGGTCCCCCAGCTTTGATTTGCATGCTTGAGTGAAACAAAAAGAAAAGAAAAAAATGCTCTGAAGCTTAGAAAGTTTTTTGTAAAAAAAATCTTAGAAAGTTTTTAGAAGGACACAAATCTGAAATGATTTAACAAATTCAAATCAAACTCAATGATTTAGCACAAATCAAACTCTAGCATAGAAACAAAACAAATCTAAAATCTATATAAACAAATCCAACACTCTGTTTTTCTTTTTGTGAGTGAAGAAAAAAAAAAAAAAAAAAAAGAAAACAAAAAGAATTCTATGAAGCTTTCATTTGGTTCAGCTTTAATTTCCATGTTTGAGTGAAACAAATAGAAAAAAAAATGTTCTGAAGCTTTTATTTGGTTCAGTTTATGTTCTCAAAGAAGATAAAAATGTTCTCAATTTATGTTTCCAAATTCAGCCTAAAGACCCCAATAAATCTAATAAAAAATTACCGATCATAAAGGAAAAAATAGAAAACCCAATACACATAACCAATAAACCCAATAGAAAACCCCAACCTGACCGAGAGAGTAAACTCACGCCAGGAACCTTTGCAATAGGAGAGAAACTTCGTATAGGAAAAAATAGATATAAAGCCTTCATAAATCAAAATACACATAATCCCTGGAACTTCTAAGTGAAACTTCTAAGCAAAAATCAAGTGAAACTTCTAAGAGGAGAGAAACCCACAAAAATATCACTTGCAAATTTGTAAGTTGTAGTTTACCTCTGAATGGTTGCAATGTTGTCGCAAGAGAAGAGAGACGAATTAGGAGGGTGAGAGAAGAGATTCCGTGGTCGGTGGTCGAAAGAAGAGAGGAGAGTAAGAGGCGAGGAGAGGTGGTCGGTAATTCGTGAGTGGTGGTGTCGTCGTGAGAGGAGAGGGGAGAGAGAAGAGCGTATGAAAGAGAAGGGATATCTTTGAAATGAGAAAGATGGAGGATTTGAGCAGAGTAGAAAGTTTTTAGAAGGACACAAATCTGAAATGATTTAACAAACTCAAATCAAACTCAATGATTTAACACAAATCAAACTTTAGCATAGAAACAAAACTATAAACAAATCTAACACTCTGTTTTTCTTTTTGTGAGTGAAGCAAAAAGAAAAAAAAGAAAACAAAAAGAATTCTATGAAGCTTTCAATTGGTGGAAATGATTCAGCATGGTCCCCCAACTTTAATTTGCATGTGTTGAGTGAAACAAAAAGAAAAAAAAAATGCTTTGAAGCTTATTAAGTTTTTTGTAAAAAAAATCTTAGAAAGTTTTTAGAAGGACACAAATCTGAAATGATTTAACAAACTCAAATCAAACTCAATGATTTAACACAAATCAAACTTTAGCATAGAAACAAAACTATAAACAAATCTAACACTCTGTTTTTCTTTTTGTGAGTGAAGCAAAAAGAAAAAAAAGAAAACAAAAAGAATTCTATGAAGCTTTCAATTGGTGGAAATGATTCAGCATGGTCCCCCAACTTTAATTTGCATGTGTTGAGTGAAACAAAAAGAAAAAAAAAATGCTTTGAAGCTTATTAAGTTTTTTGTAAAAAAAATCTTAGAAAGTTTTTAGAAGGACACAAATCTGAAATGATTTAACAAACTCAAATCAAACTCAATGATTTAACACAAATCAAACTTTAGCATAGAAACAAAACTATAAACAAATCTAACACTCTGTTTTTCTTTTTGTGAGTGAAGCAAAAAGAAAAAAAAGAAAACAAAAAGAATTCTATGAAGCTTTCAATTGGTGGAAATGATTCAGCATGGTCCCCCAACTTTAATTTGCATGTGTTGAGTGAAACAAAAAGAAAAAAAAAATGCTTTGAAGCTTATTAAGTTTTTTGTAAAAAAAATCTTAGAAAGTTTTTAGAAGGACACAAATCTGAAATGATTTAACAAACTCAAATCAAACTCAATGATTTAACACAAATCAAACTTTAGCATAGAAACAAAACTATAAACAAATCTAACACTCTGTTTTTCTTTTTGTGAGTGAAGCAAAAAAAAAAAAAAAAAAAGAAAACAAAAAGAATTCTATGAAACTTTCATTTGGTTTAGCTTTAATTTCCATGTTTGAGTGAAATAAAAAGAAAAAAAAAATGTTCTTAAGCTTTCATTTGGTTCAATTTATGTTCTTAGAGAAGACAAAAATGTTCTCAGTTTATGTTCCCAAATTCAGCCTAAAGACCCCAATAAATCCAATAAAAAATTACCGATCATAAAGGAAAAAATAGAAAACCCAATACACATAACCAATAAACCCAATAGAAAACCCCAACCTGACAGAGAGAGTAAACTCACGCCAGGAACCTTTGCAACAGAAGAGAAACTTAGTAAAGGAAAAAATAGATATAAAGCCTTCATAAATCAAAATACTTATAACCCCTGGAACTTCTAAGTGAAACTTCTAAGCAAAAATCAAGTGAAACTTCTAAGAGGTGAGAAACCCACAAAAATATCACTTGCAAATTTGTAAGTTGTATCTCTGAATGGTTGCAATGTCATTGCAAGAGGAAAGAGGCACATCAGAAGGGCGAGAGAAGAGATTCCGTGGTCGGTGGTCGAAAGAAAATAGGAGAGCAAGAGGCGAGGACAGGTGGTCAGTAGTTAGTGAGTGGTGGTGTCGTCGTGAGAGGAGAGAGAGAGAGAGAAGAGCGTACGAAAGAGAAGGGATATCTCTGAAATGAGAAAGATGGAGGATTTGGGCAGAGATGAAAGAGGAGAGGGGAAGACCAAAGGCTAAATCTGGACCATCCAGAGTGAATAACAATATTGATCTCAACCATTGAAATGTCCCTTGTAGGACAAATGAGAACAAGACATTTTTAACCCTTGGATTGAAGCAATCTAATGATTCACATTTTGACACATAGACATTTTTTATTTTGAATTCAAAATCAGCCTTCCATCGTTATATAGATGTTTTGAGCATAATATTTGGCATTTTACTCTTTTATTTGGCACGGTATTTCTTTTGCCTGATTTTTTTTTTTTGGTCAAAAACCCTTAAATCGGTAAATTATGTCTCAAAATTCTTGTCATTCAAATTTTTACATGAGTAAATGACTAAAAATGTTACCAAAAGATTTCTCTCTATTTTTAGTAAGAAATTTGTTGGTTTGACCATCATGAAAACAAGGCTCGTCTCTGTTTAATTTTCAGCAACATTTCAAAAGTATGAGGTTACAAGAACTTAAAACGTTTTGATACAATAAAAATGAATATTAATAAAGTATGCTTTTCATAGTAATTGAAAAATGAAATAATTTTGGCAAAAAATATTTTCTACATTTAGAAAAGTTTCAAATATTTTCAAACTAATAAGACATACTTTTATATGATAGTTGAGTTTTTTTATATGAATGGTTATAAATACCCTTTTACATATTAAACGTTGTCTAATTTTCAATAATAAGCTAGTTCTATATTATAAGTAGAAATTGTACTAAATATTCATTCATAATTCTCCAAAATAAAATAATAATAATAATAATAAATAGTTATGAGCAGCTCCCCAAAAAAAACCCCTTGTAGCCGTATGAAAATTTCATGGACTAGATTGAGACAAATTGAAGTTTAGGGACTATTTTAGAATAAAACTTATAATTTAAGGGCTATACCTATTTGTTGGTTTCGGGTTTGATTCGGATTCGGATTCGGGTTCGGTTCACACAAAACCTTAGTGGGGGGTTTCTGCAACAATTACAAAAATCTTCACTTTAGGGGTTAGGGTTTTTCAGTGGGAAGAGATTTGTGTTTGGAACGAACAATCGAGATCGAGAGATGAGAGGGTTACGACTATCATTGAATCAAACCCAGAAGATTAGATTGCAGAAAGCTCTGGAAACGCTCGAATATCTGTCTTCAAAGGCCAACTCTAACGCTACAGTCACTGTTGCCGATACTATCCCCGTCAACTATGAAGACGGCGTCCTCAAGTACCTCTCTCTCTCTCTCTCTCTCTCTCTCACACACACACACACACACACAGAACCATTGATTTTGTAGTGAACAAAATGACTTTCATTTTTTTTTTTGGCTGTATTTTCTTGCTTTGTCTTGAACCTTGTAGTGAAGGAATTGATTTTCTTGTTTTAATTTGGCCTTCAATTCGACCCCTTTTTGGGTGTGTAAAGAAAGGAATAAAGTCTCTGAAGAAATTATGACGAATTACTGCAAGTAATGTTGCCTATGGAAGCTATGTGTACTGGTACTGGGGAGGGAGTTAGAGATAAATTTGAGTAAAATTTTCACTAACGCAGGAGTTTTAAATTCGACAGCCACAAAATAGCCTTGAAAATTTGAGTTAACATTTGACTCGATTTGAGTCTCGCTTGATTTGGGTAAAATTTCGAGTAAAAGTTTCACTAATGCAGGAGTTTTAAATTCGAGAGCCACAAAATAGCCTTGAAAATTTGAGTTAACACTTGACTCGATTTGAGTCTCGCTGGATTTGGGTAAAAATTCGAGTAAAACTCTATTTGGTATAAGTTTGAGTCAAGGAGTGGGTAGTGTTTTGAGTGATTTTGAGCCAAATTTAAATTTGATATGGGTTCGAGTCAATGATTGGAAATGCCCTTAGGCATTTCGAGGCCATATTGGCCTATACCCGGGAGAGAGACGAGAAATGTAATTTGAAGTTTGTGTCATTAGTTCTATCAATAAAGTTGCCTTTTTTTGTCTATAGTCCCATCGTTTCTCCTTTAAAAATACTATTGTTTGTGAAATATTTTTGTTCAAGATTGCATCAGGTTTGTTTTGAACCAATTGATGTTCTTGGATAGCATGGAAATTGAATTGGTTGTGAAGTACTGAATCTTAATAAAAAAAATCCTATCTATCTTTCACATGGATTTTTTGAACTTTTGAAAGAACCTTTGTGTTGTGAATTTGAAATGGTATTATGTTTTAATTCTTTTATTTATTTCTTCATCTCCCCCTCTCTCTTTCTCTCTGCTGATCGTTCCTTATTTCTATCTTTTCTTTTCTCTTCATCTTTTTTCAATTTTCCATTTTGCAATTGTCTACTTATTCTTGTCTTTGATGGGTTGGATGAAGGGGACATGGAACAACAGAAAACGATGGTGAAGTGGTCGCGACACTCTGTGGTGTGGTTGAACGAGTTAACAAACTCATCTATGTTCGCACTTTGAGGGCCAGGTATTTGCAATGCCTACAGGATTAAAATTTTTTAATCATAGGATAGGATGGTGATTCTTAAACTTGATACCGGAATACAAATGATTTTAGGTACAAGCCTGAAATTGGAGACATTATCGTAGGACGTGTTATCGAGGTAAAACCCAAATGACCAACTTTATATTTTCTCTCAGATGATTCGGATGAAAGTTATTTGTATGCATTCTTTTAGAATGCTAAAAAGCTTGACAAATTGAATTTGTCAACAACAACAAAAAAAAAATGACAAATTGATGACTAATTTGACTGTTCTAATTGTTTGTATGGCAATAAAATTTATTGAGGATTACCTGGCAAAAAATAAAAAAGTTGAGTCACATTACCAATTTTCAAGATATGTTCCACTGTGAAGTTCTAAAAGTTAATGGAACCAACTTTTTCATTCTGTCAGTCAATACGTCTAGGTTGCTCCATCAGTCGTCGAGGTTGCTCCATCAGTGAATTGACGTCTTTTGAATTTGACGTTTAGGCTTCTCATCAGTGAATTGATGGTTTTTGATATTGATGTTTAGGTTGCTCCAAAGCGCTGGAGATTGGAGATAAATTTTAGCCAAGATGCAGTATTAATGCTTTCTTCAATGAACTTACCTGATGGCATCCAGGTATTTATATTTCCCTATGCTGCATAAATCATTTGTTTCTGTTCCCCCTTTCAAACGATTTTTCTGTTTTTTCAGCTTTCTGATAACAAAATCAATTTTCCTTTTTTTATTTTATTTTATTTAAAAAATGGGTTTTCAACAACAAAACCAAAACATAGTACTTAGTGATAATACCATGCAATCTATCTGAGGTCTTGTCTTATCCACATAATTATTATGTTTTTAAAGTGGGCATACAAATATCCTATCGCGAATTGTAAGTGGGTGATGTGTTGACGGGTTTATCAAGAATTTTTGTTTTTATTTTATATTCGATTCCATGGCCTTTAGTCAATCTTATGACTTCCCAGGCAAACGTAACACCAAGATGTAGCACTAGTAAGCACAGTAAAGAAGAAGAATAGAAGAGAAAGACAAAGAGAAGGGATGGAAGATAAGAACAGGAATAAAGGGATAAACATAAACATGGAACACACTCCCAACAATATTTCAATTAATCAATATCCAAGTCGAGTCTAATAAACCATTGCATATATATATATACTAGCATATGCCCATACCTAAAGGCATGGTATAAATAATATTGTAATCAAAATATAACTTATCAAAAAAAAAAATATATATTGTAATCAAACATAATTATAATTTATACGTATCATGTTAAAATTTATGGAGTCTGTAGTATTTTTTGATAAAAATATTGAAAAAATATAAATAAATACTATTTTTCTTAAAGAACTTGTAATAATTTTACTTGTATCACACGCTCTACAGAACTCAAATGAAATAACAACTCCCCTAACCTTAATGCAAATTAAGAAACAAACATATAAGATTTAAAATGTTGAAAATATAAGAGCAAGCCAAAAAAAATTATTAACATTAAACAAAATATACAAATCAAAGCTATTGTACACTTGCTAACATTCAATAATAATAAAAAATTACTGGACATCAAATAAAACACACCAACAAGTGCTCTTCAATCTTAATAAACTAATGTATGCCCGTGCTGCCTGAAGGCACGGTGTAAATAATATTTTTTTGAATAATTTTCATTTATCATTCTCTCTTAAGCTAGGAACATTGACAATCAAATATACCTCAAATTTTGTTTACCCAGGACACACAAAATGAATAGATAGGATGCATTTGAGCAAGAGGATCCCCTTTATTATAGATACAACTTCAAAATAAGAGGAATAACAGAATGGTGCTCTCCCTTTGGAGAGCCCCATGCCAATACGAAAATGGTGTTCTTGATCAAAATCCAAATAGCAGACACTTCCAAATGTCTACATCTCAAATCAAACCAAACCAAACCAAATGTATATAAGTTTACACAACGTCAATCAGCCTCTAAATAATCTTTAACTTTATACAATGTCAATCATTTTCAAAATTTGGCAATGATAAAACCAAAAATAGTATAAATTCTGCCCTCAAACTTCTAACTTTGCACTAATATAAATTTATTGACGTGCAATGCATGTGCTTACACTACTACTACACATAGTCAAAAGACGCTTTATGGGTAAAGAAACTTCTTTCAACTATCAAAACAAATATTCAAAAAGTGTATTAGGATATTCACAAATTACTTTCACATATACCCATGACAAAGTTTTAAATTTACACTTGAAAACGAAGTGCATAGTTCCATGCACATGAAAATGACAAATGAAGATAAGTTTCTTCATCAGCAGAAGGGCAAAAATAACTGTAAAACTAATGATGTCTAAGCTCTCCTACATTCCAAAACAATTACCAAATCATTTAATAGAAGTATTTAGATGAAAATCAAAATACTTAGGACGAAACTTTAAAGATCAAAGGTTTGGAATATATAAAGCTTAACAAATTGCTTAAAATTTCAAAGATTCTAAATGACTCAATTAAACTAACCTAGAACAATGAAATTCTCAACAACCAATCAAAGAATTCTAAAAAAATAAAAGGACTTGCTAATGAGATTAATGAAAGCTTGAACAATATGATATTACAAATCTTAGTAAACAAAAACTCGAACTCAGCTTTTATAGTTGTAAAACAAATTAACTCATAAATTCTATAATTCTGTTAATAGCCTATTCGTTGAAATTGTTAAAATGGTTGAATTTACAAAATCATTTCATTCATATAATGCCCCAGTGTGACTAAACTAATCATGTAAATGAAAAAGTACTTTAAATAAGAATAATTACACAGATGATTAATTTGAAAGTCATTAACTACATCAACTACGACAACTTTAAAATTGAAATTGTTGCATTAAAAAATAACTAAAGTAAAAGGACTTTAAAGTGATCCAATAGTCGTTTTAGTAGCAATATATGAAATAAATAAAAAAATCAAATCAAATCAAACGGATTAAAGGAATTTTATTTAGAGAAAAAAAAAAGTTTAATATGAATTGCTAGCATATCACTCATGCCTAAAAGCACTCTGATATAAACAGCTTAAATGGCTGAATCTTTTCTCTATAAAAAATAAAAGATAAATCATATAACATGGAAGTTTGAAGAGATTACCTTGATTGGAGAGTTCAAGGGTGCCATTGGTTTGTTTCCTTCTATCAATGAACAACCTCGGACTCTTTCAAAAGCTTCTTCATCTCATCCAATTCCTATAGATTCATATCCAACCAACAATGGTAGAGTATTTAGCATGAATAAGGAAGAAGATTAAAACAACAAAATTACTTTAGGAACATGACATATTTCAAAAAGTTATTTAGGAACATAAAGTTTAAATAGGAGTACACATAAAGTCAAAATTTGTCACAGTACACATTAAAAGTAGAAAATTTAAAATTTACTTGAAATTGAAATTGTTGCATTAAAAAATAACTAAAGTAAAACGACTTTAAAGTGGTCCAATAGTTGTTTTAGTAGCAATATATGAAATAAATAAAAAAATCAAATCAAATCAAACGGATTAAAGGAATGTTATTTAGAGAAAAAAAAGTTTAATATGAATTGCTAGCATATCACTCATGCCTAAAAGCACTCTGATATAAACAGCTTAAATGGTTGAATCTTTTCTCTATAAAAAATAAAAAATAAAAGATAAATCATATAACATGGAAGTTTGAAGAGATTACCTTGATTGGAGAGTTCAAGGGTGCCATTGGTTTGTTTCCTTCTATCAATGAACAACCTCGGACTCTTTCAAAAGCTTCTTCATCTCATCCAATTCCTATAGATTCATATCCAACCAACAATGGTAGAGTATTTAGCATGAATAAGGAAGAAGATTAAAATAACAAAATTACTTTAGGAACATGACATATTTCAAAAAGTTATTTAGGAACATAAAGTTTAAATAGGAGTACACATAAAGTCAAAATTTGTCACAGTACACATTAAAAGTAAAAAATTTAAAATTTACTTGGCAAAAGTGTCATCCTTAAAAAACGTATAAAAACAACGTCCAAATAGTACACATTAAAATCCATTTAAACTATTAAGATAACTGTGGAATATAAAATTTTATAAAATTCATGTGAGTTTACCACTTTGGATGCAATTTAGGATAACCCTCCATCACCTTCTTCAATCTTCACTTATACCCATTCATATTCATTTCACTTCCAATACATGACCATATGCAAAATATCAAACCAACCCCTTTGGATCCATTTGGTTAGCTCATGGGCAGCAGCCAACCCCCTGCCACAACAAAAACAAAATTTAGATTGAAACTAAATAAACTATAATACTAAACTGATATAATAAAATTTATTTTTGCCCTGACCAATCATTTTCAAAATTTGGCAATGATAAAACCAAAAATAGTATAAATTTTGCCCTCAAACTCCCAGCTTTGCACCAATATAAATTTATTGTTGTGCAATGCATGTGCTTACACTACTACACGGTCAAAAGACGCTTTATGGGTAAAGAAACTTCTTTTTACTATCAAAACAAATATTTAAAAAGTGTATTAGGATATTCACAAATTACTTTCACATATACACATGACAAAGTTTTAAATTTACACTTGAAAACGAAGTGCATAGTTCCATACACTTGAAAATGACAAATGAAGATAAGTTTCTTCATCAGCAAAAGGGAAAAAATTACTGTAAAGCTAATGATGCCTAAGCTCTCCTAGCGTATAACTCGTGCCTGAAGGCAATCCCAACAAAAAAAAAAAAAACTGATAACACTGATTATTGGGATTTCTCAAGCGGTAGCACTTGTCAACCTTCACTGGGTTTAATAGAATTACCAAATTCAATAGAGTACTCACCAATTTTGCTAACTGTCGTAATTGATAAGTAGCTCACAACCTAGTAATGACATCAACTTCATCACCACAACCAAGGTTGCTCATTTTCATCAGATCCAAATTAGCATGACCGATCAAAAACTTATCATAGAGTAGAAGCAAGCTGTAGAGGCACACACTACAACCTAATTTTCAATTGGAGGAGTACAAAAAATATGTAACAAAACATTATTAGCTATCCCGACCATCCTTTTCTTTAAGGATGGAATTTTTGTAAAGATACCCCATTGCTGAAAATAGATTATAAAAAATGAAATGCGAATTTGGGAAGGGAATAGCTCTAGTGACCTTTTCCCACACTCACAGCATTCTCATTAAAATTCCATATACAATGGAAAACCAATCTGTTAACCAAAACATTTATGGAGCAACGGGTTTGATTGGAGAAAACAAAATTAAGATCAAATTAAAATGGTCAAAGTCATCCACAACATGTTCTTTCACCATCCTATTACGAAAATGGGTCAAAGCCATGGCATCATTTGCCATAAATATTGCAAAGCCAAACTGCATCTCACGAAAGTATTATTTGATATAAAATAGAGAGAGTTACTATACCAAATTCAAAGCACAAAAACTCTTAAGGCAGTCAAGCTTATGCTTCCACTTGGTAACTACAGTGAAGGAAATAAAAAAGAGACTCTATTTTAGGTATTTTATCAAACATTTTACTGGCAAAATTACAGAATATGCTATATAATCGCAACACACAAAAACATAAGAGTTTAACTATAACCTATAATCAAATAAAAAATACTATGCGAAGGGAAAATTTTGAGAAAATGAATAAGCATAGAGTTTTACCTGGGTTTAAGTCTCATCCACCTATAGGAAAATCTTTTTATTAAGAGGAAATTAGATATAATAAATAAATAAAAGCCTCAACCTATAAGAAAGGTGTAGTAGAAAGCAAAAAAGAAACTATATTACATGGTATTCCTAGAGTATCTAATAATTTTTTATTTAGAAACGAAATAACCAAGTGTACCTTTCTATAGTTCCTACAATTACTAACCTTCCTCCCTAAAGACTTGTGGCATCTTTAATATAAACAAATTAAATTGATCAACTCCAAGTTCCTGATTTCAATTAAAAAGGAAGTGATATTGTTGGGTGCAAGGGGATACATGGAGCCATGTGAAACAGAGGTAAATATAGAATGGCATTAAATAAAATAAAAGGACAAAGTTTCAATTCTAATTGCAATGAAAAGAAGGGATAAAGAAGTGGGGTTGGAAACAGCTAGGGAGGGTTGTTGTTTTCTATATCAAATCAATGATTGTTACATTACAGCGTTTGAAAGTTGGAGTAGTCATTTTGTTTTCTTTGGTGCTGAAGCCGAAATAGACAAAATGCAAATAGTAGATATCAGTAGAGGAAGTTTCAAAGGACCTTGTTTAAAGCCAAGAACAAAGTCAATAAATTCAAGCTCTTTACAAAATTTACACTTAAAATTTTTTTAGTGTTACTTCTATGTAACATAAAATTTACATATAATTTTTTGTTTTAATTTTGTCAAAAATAAAACAATCAAAATTTTCAAATTATTTTTTAATACACTCATGTTTCCAAATTATTTTTGAAAACACTCTCTCTCACAAGTTAATGAAGGATTTTTTTCTAATTTTTTTAAGATTCAGTTATTGGAGGATAATATTGAACTTTTTGTCCACTTGTATGTAACATGTTTGACCTCCTTTCCATGGAGTTTTGTACCAATTACTCTTTCTAATGATGATGCTATTGCAATTATAATATTTTTTACAAATAAAATTATATTAAATGATGTGGTAAATTGAGATTCCTTTTTTTTCAAATATAAAATTCATTACTTAATCTCATAAAATTCATACTAACGATAATGGACTGTCAATAAATAGAAGAAAAAAATTGCAGGAAGAGCAATTTTGCATTTTCACTGCTTTCTGTATGAATTCTTCAAACACCAAAGTCACTGGATGAAAACTTTCTTTCAGTTCTTTTCTTTTTTTAAATTTTCCATAATTTATTCTTCAAACAAAATATTTTTTACAATTACTGTCATCACATCCTAAAGGTTCCTTACAAACTATAAGAATTTCATGAATACATAACAAAAAATAATAAGTTAAAGTTAGTCTTACACAACTTCAACAGAGGCAACTGGTCTCATAGAAAATGATCTGTTGGCACCCTCCTTTTCTATGAAATAAATGATTAAGGCCTTCACAATCTGCCTAAATCTCCTCCTGTAAGTTGGAAACTTCGATACACTTCGAATCATTCCCATCATCCTGACCCAAAAGACTATATATCAGTAGTGTTCAGAGAAAATTTAGCCTTTTACAATGTAATAAAAAAGAAAGCAACAAAAAAGTATATCTGGGAATATCATATTGTCTATGACATAAACCCAACTTCTCAAAAGGGAAATCAATCACACTCAATTGAATACGACTCCAACGTCAATTCCCCTTATCCATGGCTTTAATTTGGCTTTTCCTATTGTCCCTAACACCCATGTTAATCCCTACCCAATTCTCAATTCATGGACCTTTTAAAGAGTAAAATTCTTGAAATTTAGAGTTGCTAAATTTCTCAAAATTTGAGTGGGGCCACAAACCCCATTGGTCTATGCTTAGGCTCATGTCCTATAGCTTTCAAAGAGTTGTGGGCTAATGTCCAAACATCAAATGCTAGCAAATGTGGTCACTACCAATTTCTGGTTGATTTTCGAAATCATAGAAAACCATCTTTTTGAAAATCAACACTCATTAAACCCATTTCATAAATCAAAATCATGTCAGAAATCAAAACTCATTTCAGATCCAAGACTGAAAGCTGTATACAAAAAAAAAAAAAAACAGACGGAACACCACAAAAAAAAAAAAAAAAAAAAAAAAAAAAAAAAAAAAAAAAACAACAACAACAACAAAAACAAACACAAACATATCAGTTTTAATATTTAGAAAAAACAAATTCAAATTCAAATTCAAACTCAAATCTTAGAAACACAAACCCAAATTGATGTATTTAGTGTCTTTGTATGGCCTGCTTCAACTTTTTTTGGGTTTAGTGTGATTCCATTTAATACATGGATTAAGATGGATTAAGATTTAGAAAACACAAACCCAAACCCAAACCCAAACACTCTTGACGGTGGACGGAGGCGCCGTGGCGGGTTAAGAGAAGATCCGAGAGGGAGAAGAGATGAAGAGTTGATGTCGGTGGAGATTGGAGGCGACGTAGCGGTGGAAGTGGCGCGGCTGTGGAGAGTTGCTGTCGGTGGTAGAGATGTTGCCGAGGGAGAGAGAGATCTCTGAGAAGTTTGAAAAGAGAGAGAGAGGGGGAGAGAGAGAGAGAGAGAGAGAGGAAAAATGGTGCAAATTTGAAAAGGAATGTTTGCAAGCCTTAGAGTCTTGGGTGCAAAATTCTAGGTTTAAGTGGGCGGTAAGTTAAAGTAGAGTGGGAGAGAGAGTCTCATCTCTACCCGCCCATCTTTAGGCAGAATGAATTCTAACCGTTGAAATGTTCTAGTAGGATAATTGTCTCTAACATATTTTCAAAAACCTTTGTGCCTTATTATATAGATATATATATGGGCTAACTAAAATAATCCATGAAGGAAACAAAAACTAAGCAATAAAATCCTAGTTAAATTATGACTCCTAAAATGTATAAAAATAAAAAATCTTCAGTTATCTCGTTATCCAACTCCTTTGTGTTCATTATCACCAGCTCATCCTAAACTGATGAAATTCGTAGTTGCTGCGCGGAGGTTTGCATAACTGGGGAACAAGGCTGGTGCTAAACTGACAGTGCCCTTATTCTTAAATTATGGGTCTATATATAGGCCCTGTGAATGGAACTTTGACTAACATATTAGAGGGGAGAAAACATCATGAACTTGTACTGCAGTTTGGGAGTAGCGTATTAACTAACTTTGTAATCCTATGCAACCACTTTCATTTGAATGCCATAAGAAATTCCGAGTGTTTGTTGTAACTGTTCCTTTTTGAAAGATTGATCTACTTGCTCCATTTCTTGCTTGAAGTGATTTACTGTACTTCGTAACACTCATTCTTACAACTGCTAGAGGCGGCGGACAGCAGTCGATGAACTCAACATGCGCAGTATTTTTGAAGAGAACGATGTCATTTGTGTAAGTTTGCTCATTCTCTTGTTTCTTGAGAAGCTATAATGATTACAGCCATTCTGCTTTGGCTCTATATAGAATTGGTTCTACTATGCCTTGAAAGAATTAACGTTGCACTTTAGGATTCGAGTCCATATGAACATTACATGAACCATCATGTCATCACGCAGCTGCACATCTAGTGGCTGCACGATTGGGTTGCGGTTTTGATTCTTCAGTTTTTGGTAGTTATTTCTAAATAGAAGATAATAATGATAATGACGCTAAATCTGTGTTGCAACTCTTTCAGGCTGAAGTTCGTGGTTTCCAGCACGATGGTAGTTTGCACCTGCAAGCAAGAAGCGAGAAGTATGGGAAGGTGTGTCTTGTTGAAGTTTTTTTATTTATTCAGCGTTCTTTTCTGCCTTTTGCATCTTCAACATTTAACCTAGTTTTGGTCGTGTCTATGGTTATGAGAAAGTGGAATATCACCTGTGTAATTTACATTAACAAAGCAAATTTCTGACGAGAATAAAGTCTTAACCCATGCTAACAAGAAGTTTATTGGGGGAAAAATGTTTATCACTTTCGTATGGTGCAAAAGGTATTCTGGACTATAGTCTTACCAATACCACCACACTACCACCGCCACCACTCCCCATCGCCACCACCATGCTGCCGCTGCTGCCACTCCCACGACTCCAACCAACCCACCACCACCACCACCTCCACGTTCACCTCCACCTCCACCCTGTTGCTGCTATCACCACCGCCAACCCCACCACCATTAATACATTATTTTGAAGGACGTAACCAAATATAGGAAAATGTTTTTTGCCAACAAATGGAGTTGTATTATATCATTTTTTGTGAAACTTCGCTTGAAGAATGCCAAATACTATTTCATCTTCATTTAATCTCAAATTGTTATATTGTTATTGAAAAAACAATGCACAACATTGGTGATATTTTATTGGGAGCATGCTGTCAATTTCTGGATCTCCAAACTTGGCATTACTCTCACCATCTTAATATAGTCGTCTTCCTGTAGTACCTATTGTTTGATTGGTTTTATGGTACACTCTATTCGCAGATTGAGAGGGGGCAGTTGCTTACCGTCGCCCCTTACCTAGTGAAGAGACGGAAACAGCATTTCCACCACCTAGAACAGTATGGGATTGACCTCATACTTGGCTGCAATGGATTCATCTGGGTTGGTGAACACGTTGAAGCCAAAGATGATATGATAGAGGATCGAGCGAGTAAATCTGAGCAACAGAATGCCAAATCCAGTAAATATTCAATGAGTCTTGAAGAGCAAGAAAAAACTTACACACCACTCGAGACTAGGCAAAACATATGCAGGACTGCAAATGCTGTCCGCGTGTTGTCTAGTTTAGGCTTCAGTATTACGGTAGAAGTGATCATTGAGACGGTTGAGTTGAGCATTTCATTAAATCTTGACATACATGAGATGCTTGGGGCGGAGTTCTGCGTTCTGGTCGCGGAGGGAGAGGCTGAACGGCGCCGTCGCTTGATGAAAAAGAAGGGGTAATCCTTGCCTCAATTTTATTTTATTTTTGGAGGTAAATTGCAGGCAGTGAGGGTTTGTTGTCTGAGTAGATGGGATGGTTTGTAATATCAATATTATTGTTTGTCCTTCAAATCATCATTCTATTGTGAGATAATAATTTGTTAATGTAAAAATATTTTGGTTGATTAGTTGATTACCCGATGAAATAGATTGCAAATCACCAAAGAACATGGAGAATTTGGAAACTACAAATTGAAACCCTTATTTTTTAGGGTAATTTACACTTTTTAGAGGTTTGGGGAAAGTATATTCAATTTTATATTTTTGATATAATTATATTGAATTTTTTTAATGTTTTAATTCACACAGTCTTTGGTCATTTTTTATCAATTATTTGTTAGCTATATGGATGGAAAAATTATTGAAATATATATTTAATTTTATTTATTTATGTTTGTGCACCATCTACTGCTAGCCTTACTAAAGAGGTCGGTGTTTGTATTTTTTTTTTTTCAAATTTCAAATGAGATTTGAGTAATTTACCTAATGTTTTTTGAGATGTAATAAATATGGCATTCCTTAATAATGGTCAAGAATTCTTTGTTTCAAATATTAATCTTAAGGGAAAATCCTATGTTATATGCAACCTACCATAAAATGTGTAATTTTATTATAACATTTCGTAATATTAATTACAAAATACGTACGTAATTTCATCATAAATTGGCGTAACAAAAAATATTTAATTAACAAAAAGAAAAAAAAAAGGTTATAAACTTTTGTAATACTAATTACAAAATTTTAGAAATTTGTGATTTAATATTTTGAAATTTTACGACAAAATTACATAAACCATAAATTTTTAATCTTAGGACTTGATTCAACGTGTGTGATTATTTTTGATAAATACACACAAATTAGCGACAAAGCATCCCCATGCCCTTATAATCATTGCGACTCTTGTACTATATTTTGGATGAATGACAACCTTTCTCCAAATGTAGTGTTAGATCACAAAATGGTTTATAGGAAATACACTAGAAGACTAAGAAGAGGTCTATATTCATAATAAATCTCAACCTATTGTTACACTTTTTGTGATCCATTCTATATTTTAATTGTGTATCTTCAGTGATAGTGTACTACATAAATTTATCTTATAAAATGTCATTTAGTTCCTTACAATATTTGTAAAAATTACTCAATAATTGTATTCTCATCAAAAACCTATTCCAACAAGAAAAATAATCAATGAATGCATAATTTTTTTTTTTTTTTTGGATTCATTGGAAATTAAAGCAATTTTTTTTTTTTTTTTTTTTGGGATTCATTGGAAATTAAAGCAAACAAAGATACAGAGTCACAAATACATCAAACAAAGGCTAATCCCTCATCACACTAATTCCAATCATGTCTTATATGACCAAATGACTAACTTCAACTAGTGGTGTTTTAAGGAATACTACATGTTCTTATTGAGCCACTCCCAAATTGGCTAGTTTGTCAACTACTTTGTTTTCCTCTAGCAGTGTGTGTCCAGGAAAGCAATTGCATCTATCTAGTAAGAACTTTGCATCTTCAATGAGAGATTTGTAAGGTGAGTGTTGGTTTGGGCCATGTTGTATTTGGAGGATAGCTTGCTCTAAATCAGATTCAATTTCAACATCTCTAATGCCTTTTTGAAAAAGAATGATAAGTCCTCTGTATATTGCCCATATCTCTGCCTTCAAACTTGAGCAATGTCCTAACTTGCCATAGTAATCCCATAACCAAGTCCCTGTCTCATTTCACAAGAGTCCATCATAGCTAGCCTGACCTGAGTCTCCTTTTGAGCAACCATCTGCATTCAGCTTAAGTTTACCTACAATTGGACAACACCATTGAATTAGTCTAGGTAGAGGAGGGTGTAGGTAAATAGGGGATTGAAAAGCCTCATCAATCTTATAGACATGATCCCTAATGTTCTTGAGACTGGTTTGGATTGGGTTAGTTTAATTATCAAAGACAACTCTATTTCGATCATTCCAGATTTGCCAAACAAAAACAATAAACACAAGGTACCATTTTTTCCATAATAAAACTTCTTGCTTTGCATGTTAAAAGTAACCCAATCAAACATAGGCTTATCAGTTCTTTTTTCCTACCACTTGTTGCTTTGGATGTGGACCCAAATGTCTTTGAACGTAGCGTAGTCTCTAAATAAATGATTCATATCTTCACTAGACTGGTCACATCTAGGACATAAATCTATACGAGTCATATTTCTCACAAGACGTAGCTGATTGGTTAGTAGTCTTTCTTTTAATATAAGCCAAAGGAAGCATTTCAATTTTTGGAGAATTTTAATTTTCCATAATAAATGATGTATCTCCCAAATTCATTACATGCTTCCAAATCTGTAGTGTAATGGCCCTTGTTTTCATCAATGTATGTAGGTGCGCTATCAATATTTGGCCACCATCCAATTAATTAAAGTAAAACCGTTATAATGAGATAATTTAGTATTCTTAAATAAATTATAATCATAACATAGACCACATTAAGAATAGACAAGATTGTCTTCTTATTTAATTTTTAATATAAATTTAAATTATCTTTTTGCTTTAATTTTGTTTTCCCTTTACATTATTATTTTTGGACAAAATTTAAAACTTCATTGCAGCAAAGTAAACATTGGATCCAATTTTTAAACAAAACAACTTGATGTGGAATGGAATAAGTATACTTAGAATTCGACGCAAACTCAAAGGGGATTAGAAGCGCACACAATTGAGAAACAAATGAGATACTATCTCAATTGAACCTCTACAACCTATAACGTCCTCTTATGTATGTTTTTTTAATTAAAAATATAAAAAATAAATGAAGGAAAAAACTAATTCATGACGTGATTTTCGTAGTCACCTTTCACTACTAATTTGAATATGAAGTAGATTCAGATAATATCTTATCGAGTTTGGATTTACTTTTCATACCATATACACTTGGACTTGAAATGGGGGTAATTCAGCCATTTTAATTAGTCATTATTTTGAAATATGCTATTTTAGTAACTCTTTGATTAAAATATAAGGTAAAAAAAAATAATATGTTTGAGATAATTTTTTGATTTTTTATAAAAAAAATGTATAAAAAATAGAGAGTATTTTTTTTAAAACTTTTTAATATAGGTTATTGACTTTTTAATTTTTTTAAGTGACTTTTTGACTTTTAAATTAAAAGATTGAGTTGTCGAACCGGACCTAAGTTTTCAAACGAATTGTGAAGGTTGGGGAGGTTAAACACAATTTCAAAAACATAGTCTATATGCTAAATATCAAAATTCAAGGGAGGTCATTGCAATTTACCCAAATAAAAACCATGGTTTCTTTCGAAATTACAGCCTTCGCCACAAAACAATCACTCCCACACTCTCTCTATCGTTTCTCTCCGTCTCAAACCAATCAATTCCAATAATTCCATAAAAGATTTTCACACAAAACCCTTTCTTTCTCAGCTGATTCCGCATTATTCAACCAAGTTCCTTAATCAATTGCTCTATTTTCTCTCTCTACAATCGTCGTCGTCGTCATCATCATCATCATCATCTTCTTCTTCGTCTTCGTCTTCGTCTTCGTCTACACATGGCAATGGCTAGCAGTGGTAATGGTGGAGGTGGAGAAGACGAAGTGAAGCAGTTGGAAGCTGAGCTGAGCAAAACCCTAAAACAAGGAGAGAGAATTCTCGCCCCCACTCGAAGGCCAGACGGAACCCTCAGAAAACCCATTCGAATTAGGGCTGGTTATGTTCCTCAGGACGAAGTCGCCATTTACCAATCCAAGGGAGCTCTGGTACGTATATACGTGTATATGTGTATGTCTATGTTGAGATACAGTAATGTTATATATGTATGTATAGGTGTGTTAATGTTGATGATGGTGGTGATGGCAGTGGAAGAAGGAGATGCAATCGTTGCAGGATGTGCCGCCAGGTTACGATCAGGTTTTGGATTCAAAACCTAAGACCAAATCTGCTAAGAGGAACGAAAGGAAGAAGGAGAAGCGGCTACAGGTTACTCTTTCTCTTGATTTTGTATGAGCCAAGTCTTTACAATTTTGTGAGTTTTTGTATGGGATGAAATGAATCTGCTTACAATGTTTACCATAACCTTTTTTTGGGGGGGCTTTGAGAGGTTTATAATCAAATTAAGTTTTTGAAAGATTTTTGCTTTGAGAATGTTTTTTTATACTTTGATATAATTTGTAAAAGAATAATTCTACATATACGAACAATTTTACTAAAAATACAAGAGGCCAAATGCGATTGATTGTCAGAAAAATAATGACATTTAAACATCTAATCATAGTTGAACATGTACGTTTTTAGTAAGATTGTTAGTAAGATTTTAAGTAGATGTAGCATTGCTCTTTGTAAAATTTGTTTTGAGATAATAAAACCGTCGAGAAAGATTAGGCATGCTCACCTGTTTCCCACAATGCCATAAAAGAATTAACCCATGTGATAGTTTGATTGCAGAAAGGATCGGAAAGGATCAACTCTTTGGATGAAATAAAGGGCATTTCTTTTTAATCTTCTGTGGTAGTTGCCTCTGTGTAGGATTGTCTTTTCAGATAGTTTTAGGCTGTAGATTTCAGGCAAAGTGACAATCAACTAGAATGCACTTGTTCCTCTCTTTTTTGATAAATAAAGTAATTGTATTCATTCATAAACTGTCAGAAAAGGGGCAGAACGTGTGTACGTCAGATGTATACAAAAAGGTTATAAACCCTAACTAAAAGAAAGTTATGTCAAAGCATATGGTATCTAAGACATTGTCACTTGATATTTGCAGAATACATTCGTAGAATTTGAATTGCAACTTATTATAAAAAATAAAAATAAAAAATCTGAATTTAAAATTCAGTTTCGCTAAAAATTACTAAATACATCATCATGTGTCATAGCTTTAAATTTGTTTCCTCGCTTGATGTGTGTTCTCCACAATGTGGAACTAGTCCACAAAAATCCTAATTAACATTTCATTATTGCCAATATTACTGCTGATAAGTTGCTAGTTACTAGTAACATCACCCCCAATGAATCATCATATTGTTGGCACCAGTAATATCACCAACCAGGCAGCACCTCCATCCCTTTGTCACTAATACCACTACCTTTATTGCACCACAGTCGAAAAATTGTAATCGTTTCCTCTAGTGTGGTATCTCCACCGAAACCACAAGGAAAAGAGAGGATGAAGGTGTGATATTCAGTTCTAGTTTCAATTCATTAAATAATTGATACATGATGACCTGCACTACCTATAGGCATTAGTTTTGCACATATATGCTTTGTTGCTGGTAAAAAAAAAGTTTTGCATATCTATGATTTCAATTGTAAATTTATTCCAATTTCAACACTCCGAGTGACGTACACCTCACAGTACAGGCTTGGAGTAATTTGGAAATTGAACAGGATAAGAAGTTTAAAATAGGAGGTGTGTGAATAGTTCAAGACTCTAAAGTGGGAAGAAAGGAAAGTGGTTGGTTGATAGTGGATGCATTTTGAAGGCTCTTTTAACTCAATTACAACAAAATAGTCAAAGTTAGGGTTTTTTACATGCTTTCCTCTTCTGTAGCTTTGCAAACTATATAATCAAATGGCAAAAGAAATGATAATGAATAGAAAATGTGACAAATTTAAATTTGGCAATGTGTCTGCCGCCAGCGTGGCACCATCTGGGAGAGGTTCCTGTAGCAAACGCATGCATGTATTGCATAAACTTAATAATAGGATGAATCTTCAGAAGACATTTGGTATCACAACTACAAAGACAATAACCTGTCATGTGAATATGAGGTGTTCTTAAGATCTTCACATGCCACCTATGTTACACGGACTCTTTGAAATTTCGGAGGTACCTGTGTCGACATGACACGACACGACACGGGTACGGGTGCGGGATACGTCCGGGATACGGCTCATTACAAATGGATACGGCTATGTTTTGCCTTAAATATAGAAGCAACGAAATAGCCCTAAGTACAGAAGAATGGAAAGAGGAGAGAGCAAGAACCTGGTCGCCGACTTCTCTCTAGTTGCAAGCTTCGATCTCACCCCAGTCGATTCTTCACTCTTGATCTCATATCTCGATCGACCTCGTCTCTGTCTCGCGCCAATCGATTCTTCTTTCTCGTCTTTCAATCGATCTGTTCTGTCGATCTCCGCTTCTCTCTCTCAGTCGATCCATCTCCTCTTTTTCTTCTTCTCTCTCCCCCTGATCTGTTTTCTCTCTATTGTTATCGATATGTTCTCTCTTTCTCTCCATTCCTGTTGCCGATCTATTTCTTTCTTCTTTCTCTCTCTTCTCTTGTCTCTTGTTTACCATATAATAAATAAATCATATAATTTGTTATATAATAATATCTAATTAAATCATATATAATAAAAAAAAATAAAAAATCTAATAAAATCTATAAATTACATTATTTATTTTTTATTTATTTTAACATAATTTGTTATTCCTTATTTATTATATATTTTTTATTTATAATATATATATTTCAATTAAAGGTAAAAAAATAAATTAAAAATATTATCAATAAAAATAATACATAAGATAAAAAATAATAAATATATTTAAAAAATAACTATTTAACTCATCTTTATATAATAAATATATTTTAAAAAATTAACTATTTAACGTATCCTCGTACCCGTATCCAAATTTGGATCTGTATCCACGTATCCTCAATTTTTAACTTTGAAGTGTCCGACCCCTAGATACGCACCCGCACCCGCACCCGATACCTATAGCCGAGTCCGTGTAACGTAGCATGCCACAGTAAATGATGTGAGCCTTGTGTGGGCATGAGAAATCATGTAGGCAATGGAAGTGAGGTTGGAAGAGAAATGCAGATTATTTAATCTTGCCCTTAGGGGTTGAGTTTTAGGTTGGGGTTCCTCTCGTCATTGATCAAAATCAGTAGTCTTTATTTTATCAATAAATTCTCAAGAATAGAATAATGAGGAGAATGAAGAATAGTGCGCTTAAAACTTGTAATTTTGGTTCTATGTTACAATACAAGCTTTCATGAGAGTCATATATAGGCTAGTTCCAGGCTAGAAGCTCTGAAGAGTGAAGACGAACATTTATCAATTTAAAAAAAAAATTGCTCTCAACCTTCTGTTGAACATTCGTGACTTCATTTTCATTCAGTTTGTTTTCTAGTCCTTTGCATTGCCCTTGTTATTGTTGGAGATATTGATAGTAGTTGAATGTTGCTGATTTTGCACTAAAGAGGGAATTTCATCACAAACCAGATCCTGCTATTTTCCAGAGTGAATAATCATCACACCAATCCTTCTCTATTCTTGTGTGCCTTGCATTTTATTTCTTACCTTTACATCCAGGCCCTCAATGTTCGCCACTTTGTTTTTAGAGATGGAAAAATGGATATCCTGACATGCTAATAATGAGAGGACAAGATCTCAGTTGTGTCTATCCCCTTTGGGTTTATCTGTGCATTATCTATCTCTGCATGTAAGAACTTTTATCTTATCTCATCCCTTTTTGGTTTACAAATTGTGTAGAAGTGGGGAACAAGCACACATCACTTCTGAAAAGTAAAATAGTGACGCTCTTCTAATTGGTTGGACCATAGGTGCATGGTTTATTTCATGGGCAAGATCTGAAATAGGAGGTGCAATTCATTCTGGGGTCTACTGTCTATGGTTTCATGAAGTTTACAATTGGAGCTAAAAGGCATGGCTGTGTGTAACAGACTTAACTGTGATTATAATTGTCTCACAAATAAGTTGTAGGAAGTTTATTCATGCACCTACATGCTAGCAACAATCTTGCTTTTATTTTTGGTACTTTTCTTTTGTGGGTTGTTATTGTTTTTATATATAAATTTAGCATGTTACTGGTGCAGGCTGCTCTTGATAAGGGTAAGAACTCGGATAGGAATGAAACGTCGGATGAAGATGCAAGTCAGGGATTGGAATCTGTTGAGCCAATGGTATCACAGTTGAATGACCTTGCTATATCTGCAAATTCTGCTGTGGTTGCACCTCCCTCAAACTCAACACAATGTTCAACTCCTTCAGATCCTGTTCCAGATGTTGATAAAAAGATTAGAGCACTAAAAAAGAAGGTAAAATTTCTCATGCTTCTTGCATTTGAAGAGGATATTCATGACTCCACTCTGTTCCTTTTTCTAGTTTGTCTGGGACAGTTGTTATTTGTTAATGTCACACCTTGGCCCCAAAACAAGCCCTAGGCTCATCAAAGGCTTAGGGAAAGCGCAAGACACCTTCAGTCAAGCCCACTTAAAGCTCTTAGGGACACACCTTTTAACAAGTTTCAGGCTTGGAAAGGTGCATGTTTTATAATTGAATCATACCTTTATTGTTATCTATATCTTGTTATTCGTCGTTGGCCATTGATTGATATGTCGTATATCATATTCATGGTCTTGAGATAGATAATATATATTTCAGATTCTAGATTCATGGGCTTATGGCTGGCTAGTTGAACTAGACTCTATTGCTTGACTCTACGAATATATAATTGTGGCTTTTTATTATCGTAGAAAATACACATGTATATCAAAGTATGCACAATCTTATTTGTGGTACATATTTTAAGTTGCTTTCAGTTGGAAGTATATTTAATAAACATTCCTATCACACAAGTGTCTTAATTCAACTAGGCTCATGGTTTATGCTGTGCCTTGCACTTGGGCTGTAGAGGACTTTAGCCCTTGAGTGCAACTTGAGTCTTTATTAACTGTGATTTACTGATTCAGAGACTTATTGCACCCTAAACTTGTTTACAAGCAAAAAATCTGTTGTTAATAAAATGCTAGTTTGATAAAAATTAGTTATTTCAAGCAAAATGCTGGCTTTCCCCAATTAGTTTTCTTATTTCAGTTATTGATTTTTATTGGAGTTCCTCTATGATGGATATTTCATGAAACACTCCAATGGAATATTTCTAGCTAGGGAATCCTAGTGAGATTTTAAGTATTTCATTTTAGATTCTATATCATGACATCCATGAATATTGGAGGAAAGCAATTGTAACTCTTCTCCTTCTAAGTTGATTGATAGTGTGTCACTATAGACCAATTTGTTTTGTTCAAATTATGTCTCTTACTCAGCATTTTTTTTTACTCAGATTGTTTTTTTTTTTCTTTGGGCAACAATTACACATTTGATTTCCCTCGCATTTAAGTTGGACCATCCAATCTGCAGGGTTCAACTTAAATGATACAAGTACAATATCCCTAGTTATCTGTGTTTGTTTAGAATATTTATGTCCTAAATTCCTAATTATTGACCCATATCCCAAAAAATTCATGAGCCTATTCACAGTAGTGATGCAAACTTCTAGCCTTTTAAGAAGGTTTTGATTTTCTTTATGGTATTTGAATTGCAATTGCATTATTCTGAGTTAGTAACAAAATTATTTTTATTTGGTAGATAGAATTTCATAATTGGTGTTCTTTGCTCATACATGATAACTTTTCAAAGAGGAGATAACAAATATGCTGGTGAGATTAAGAAGTTAAATAGGAAGGAGGGGTCAAGCGGTCTTTCAACACGAGAAATTTAGAAGAGAATGAAGGAAGGGCATTAGGGAAACTTACTATTGCAAAGGTGGTGAGTTGGAGACACAAAACTAAGGCATTGTGGTTGATAGCAGGTGATAAGAACTCTAAATGCTATCGTATGACTAAGAAGTTTGGATATAGGCACAAGACACAAACGCGCCCACAAATTTTTTTTTTATTTATTAAAATCATAAATAAAAGAAAAAAGAAATGACACGGGAGAGATATGACAACAAATAAATATATATTTTTATCTGTACCAATATGTAGAATGTGGAATATAATTCCTTACAATTTTGATATAATAAAAAATTAATGTATTTGTAATGTAACAAATGAAGAAAAATTCCTAATATCTATTTTAGAAAGCTCTATTCATAAACAAATTGAAAATTTTGTGTTTTAGAATACCTAAAATTACAAGTCTAAAAGAGGAGGGAGTAATACTAATAGGTAGGTGATGGTCATGTGAGTTCCCAAGTGTCTGAAGTGTGTCCAATTCTTAAAAAAATTAAAAGATAATAGGGATATAGTTGGAGGTGTATTCAACCTGTGTTAGGGAGTGTCAGATAAGTATCAGTGTTTGACATGGACAAGACACATTCTTAGAAGTGTATGTGCATCTTAACCGGATGGCTATAATTTTTTATTGATACCGAGGTATCTAAATCAAAGTCCGACTAATTCCCATGGGTGCACAGACCCTCGACAAGGAGTTTCTCTCAAGTGCACCACGGTTAATTCAAGGGTTTTCTCCCAGTCTGATGGCCCCAAAGAATTATTAGCACCTAAGAAGTTTCGATCTTGAACCTTAGAGGGAGTACATCCCAAGGCCAACCCCTTGGGGTTCTTAGCTGGATGGATAATGATCATAAGATCACATCATATAGAAAGATTTGCTTTTGAGGGTGAGAAAGTGATGGAGAAGACTGTGTTAAGAGGGTTGTCATGAGTTTTTATAAGAGGTGCCATCCTCCAAGACTACTTTCAGGGTGGTTACTATTGGAAAGACTTGAGCTTGACTCCATTGGGAGGAGGGTAAGGATTAAGGAGTGGCTAGAGAGACCATTTCTTGACGAGATAGTGATTGCTTTCCGAAGCTTGGAAAGGGATGAAGAGGGCCCAGTTGGATGGTATGATGAAGGGATTCTTTCAATATTGGAGTGTGGTTCAAGGTGTTGGATGTTTTGTTGTATTATTGGGGTTCTTGTTTTTGTTGTTATAGCATGGAGAGTTTGAACAGAGTCCTATTTGTTGCATGGGGTGTTGTAGGTATTTAGATTGATTAGTCTTATAGGGAGTGCATAAAAGCTCGTGGTGAAGGTACTATTTTTTATTCGAAGGAAGATTATAAGTGGCATTATTTCTGATTCTCAAATGCTTTTATTAGTGTGGAGGGATGTTGATGTTTTATTAGTTGCTAAATTACTAATGACTGTGTTGTCTGAGGAGCAATAGGTAGTATGCAAGCTTGATATTGAGAAAGTCTTGAATCATTTTCATCAAAAAAATTGTGTTTCATGTGTTGAGGAAGAGGCAGGGGGACACTAGTTCAGTGGTTAAAATTTGGCCTACTAGCCTTAAGGTTGTAGATTCAAACCTGAGGACACTCACTTCATGCAAATTATGCCAAATGTTAGGTTTGTGCTCAATCAATTTGACCCAGATCCCCATCTAATGTGGCCTAAACTGGCTGTTCTTGTGTGTTGAGGAAGACTTGCTTTACTCAATAGGAGACCTTTTTCTGGTTCTATTCATCTTCTTTCTAAATCAAGGGTTTTAAGGCCAAAACATTCATGCCGAGTAGGGAGGTTGGTTGAGGGGATTCATGGTAGGCAGTAGGACAGGAGAGGAGGCAGCAGTTCCTCTCCCGCACCTCTGATGTCACTATCTGTTTTGGTGGAGTAGGAGGTTTTACATCTTAGAGTTTTATTAATTTAAAAAAAAAATAAATTAAAAAAAAAAAACTGTGTTTTGTTTAAGGAACAATTTAAGAAATAAAAACTGGTCCTGGTTGGTAAGGTGCTGGACCTGGACCTGGATGTTATATTCGTGGTGGAGAATTGTGGGTGTGGTCTGGAAGTTCCTATTTGGGTTTATCTTTGACTCTTCTTATAAGGGTAAATCAGTTGTATATCATTGTGGTGAAACTTGAGGAGGCTAGCTGGGTGAAGAGGCAGTATTAATCTGTAGGCGAAAACTCACTACTGTCAAGAGCACATTGTCTAGTCTTCTCACTTTCCAACATTGGTAGTGAAGGGACTGCAGGAGCTCATAAAGCCTTTTCACTGATCTTAATCGAGTTTATCTTTAAATCTTCTTATAAGGCTAAATCAATTGTATATCATATTGGGGAGATTCTACAATACACACCCTCTAGAGGGGGTGTACCATATGCAAGTTACATTTTGTGGTGTTGATACCATTCTGTCATAATCAAACCACTTTCGGTCATAACTAAAAGGATCGTAACCAAACACCACTTGAGGCATAACCAAAGACCTCTTTGGTCACCAAAACAACAACCACAGTAGATAGGTCATAACCAAAGACCACAAAAGGTCTTTAAAAGCAGTATTTATGTGAAAGGGAAATCTCACAACTGTCAAGAGCACATTATCTAGCCTTCTCATTATTCCGACCTTGGTAGTGAAGGGACTGTAGAAGCTCAGAAAGACTTCTCATGGAGTGGTCTGTTATACAAGTTCAAGTAACATTTAATTGAAACTTGAAATGGAGTTTGTCGCTGTTAAGTTACCAATTTTCCCAAAAGCCTATTAGGAAATGGGCCCAATAATGTATATCAAGTTATCTAATACCCTCCTACATGTGCAACCCTGTCTTACACAGAGAGACAAACAGAAGGAGAAGCAAACAACCAAATAGAGAGAAATTAATCGAACGGGAACATAATACCAAATGCTAACGGAGAGATTTGAACCAATCAGAGCTCTGATACTATGTTCAGTTACCAATTTTTTCAAAAGCCTAAGCTATTAGGAAATGAGCCCAACAATGTATATCAAGCTATCTGACAGTCACGTGGTCTCTTCTCAGTTGGAGATTTACGGGTTGAGAATCTTTAGTCGAGCATTGTTTGTCAAATGGTTGTAGAGATGTGTTATCGAGAGAGATTTTGTTTGGACGAGAGTAGAGAGGAAATATGGGAGTCTTTGCAGTTCCAGATGGTGAGTTTTGATGGAGTGAGGGAATTATTTAGCTTGTGGAAGGGTAATTTAACATGATTTTGTGGGTGTAATTTTCAGAAGTATGGTTGTTTTATTGTGGGAGATGGTCAAAGGAAGTTTTATATTGATATGGCGTGTTGCAGGGAGGCCCTTTGAAGAAATTGCACCGTGGTCTCTGTACAATTGTGTTGGGTGAGGTTCCCTCAGGACTCAGGAGTTAGTTATGCAAGTCCCCGTGGAGTGATGTGGACCCTTTTTCTATTCCATTAATTCAGGATGACAAGTTGAACTCGGTTTAGATTTGAGATGAGATGGGAAACATGAAGCGAAGGGGGGAAGCAAGATGTCATATCACCTATAAGGAGGTTGTGGATGCAAAGTTCCTTTTTTACCTTGGGAAGGAATTTAGTGTACATAGGCTCCTTTGAAGGTGTCATTTTTTTTCTTGGACTGCATTGTTTGAACTTAGAAGCTATTTGACCACTGACAACCTTGAGAAGCTTCATTTAATTAGTAATTGGTGTTTCTGTGTAGAAGTTTGGCATAAAATATTTATCATCTTTTACTTTATTGAGATGTAGCCAGCGATGTTTAGTTCCTATTCTTCATATATTTGGTATGACTGGATCATGTTGGCAATTGGGATTGCTGTTTGATTTGTTGGGTAGTTCAATTCAATGGAAATTGTAGGTGGAACAGTTTTAGGGACGCTTGGTGTAACACTCAATTTGAAGGAAACAGAATAATTGGGCTTTTGAGACTGGACTTACCATTTGTAATGTGAATTGTATGATGGTGAATATGTTCTCTTTCTCTACTTCTCTCTTTGAGGATTTTCTCCGTGATCATCTGATTCTTTTGTTGAGTTTTTGAACTGTTTGTTTGTTCATACTTCATATACATCAAAAGAGGATGTCACAGTTATTTTCTGTAACTATGTTTTGATGTCCTTGAGTGAATTCATTTATTAATGAAAAAGGCACAGTACCTCTTGAATGTTCAAAGAATGATAAAATACTTTCTTTTATATTATCAGGGAATATATCGTTGATTTTCATTGGGCATGAAATCTGAAATACGAATCTGACAAAACCCTTTGCTCAAGATTAGCTGAAAACAAGTAAAAGTCTCACTTTCCATCGTATTTCGACGGGAGCCTGCATTCTGAATATGACAGATAGCTCAGGATAACCAGAATATAAATTAGTCAGTGAACATGCAGAAAACTAATTCCAGACTCAGATGTATTTGGTGAAACATTGGTAAAATGATTGATGGATCAGTTCTGTCTGATTACCTAAACAAGCACAACTGTTTTAATTAGAATTGTTGTGATAATTGTTGGAATGTATCCTACATCTTCTGGAATTGCCCTATTTGTAATGGCTATAAGGCTCCAATTTCTGTCTTCTTAACACTTGAGTTTTAAGAAGTGCGGGCTGGACTTTTCAATTTGGTATCAGAGCTTGGTTGGGCCTGTGATTGGTGTGCCATTTATCTGGCTATTGTATATTGTGGTCCAGGAGGGTGTGCTAGAAGATGTCTCACATCGCCTAGAGTTGTCCCATTTGTAGTAATTATAAGCTTCCAGTTTCCCTCTTCTTAACACCTGGGTTGCTTTTCAATTATAATCAACTGGAAGGATCTTGTCTTGTCCGTGGCACCTGCTCTCATGAGGATTTTTGAACCAAGCACAAATCTGTTTAATAGTGGAAATGTAGATCATTGGAGCCAAGAAATTTCAACATGCTTATGTATAGTTTGTTTGTACGAAAAAAATATCAGTGAATCATACATTTGATCCTAAGTAACAAAACACGATGTTATCGAGCTATGCTGCTAGATCATCATGTATCATGTTACCAGATATGGGATTACTTGGGTTCATACTATTTGGGCAGTCATTTATGTTTAGTACTGCATTTTTTTTTTACCTGTTTTTTAGATTCTTTGGTAAATCTTGGTTGGGAATGTTCGTCACCTCAGATTGCTACCTGTTTCCAACCGTTCAACAGTTATATAATTTGTACAACTTCGTAGTAATTCCATCAGGTTCATTGGGAAACCTCACTGCTTTTGGTGTGATTAATATACCTAAACATCTCTCATGTTTCACAAACGTAGTTCCCAATGTCACCACTCATTTTCTGCGAGCTTTCAAGGTTCGATCATTATGACGATAGCAATTGAACTGAGATATTGAACTCTCCTGTTTTTTTTTGTTGTTGTTAATGTCAACAGATAAGGTTGGCAGAAGCTCAACAGCAGAAAACCGTGGAGCAAGATATGAAGCCGGAACAATTGGAGAAGATGGCTAAATTGGAAGGTTGGCGGAAGGAGCTGAAGCTCTTGGAAGATAGGAAAGCCGAGCTATCATAAAATTGAAGTTTGTTTTTAGGGTGAAGGAACTTTGTAGTCTTTATTTATTGTGACTTCATGAAGATGTAGACACCTCATTTTGGTAAAAGAGAGCCTCCTAAACCCTAAGATTTTGATTTGTCAATCCTGTCATATTAGATGTAGTTTGGAAGACCAGAAAAAGATCCAAAAGTTTGGCTTACTCGGCAGCAACTCTTTAGTGTAACACACAACTTATTCAAGTCCTCATCCCAGGTGATTGTTGCTTCAGAATTCTAGTTTCTTTGTAGTATAACTCACGTCTGAATTGCATACTTGAAACCTTTGTCAAATTTTAATTAAAATTTTACGAGGGTAAATTACATTTTTCACCCTTGAGCCAGTGTGTGAACACAGGTTCAAATATGAGGAATCATTCCAGGTGATCATTGCTTGAATGAATTCAAGTTTCCTTGTAGTATAAACTCACATATGAGCTGCATACTTGAAACCTTAGTCAATTAAGTCCTCATATTTGAACCAGTGTGTGAACACAAGTTGAAATATGAGGATTTAATTGTTGCAATTAGAAGGTGAAGGACTAAAATGAAACTTAAATGGGGAATCTTAATTTTTGAAAGGGTAAATTACATTTTCACCCCCAACTTTCACTTGAATTTCATTTTGGTCTCTTACCTTTTAATTGTGACAATTAATTTTTCAAATTTCAGTTCATAAATTACATGTTGTTGACCCTGTTTGGCAGAGCTGTGGGAAAGTGCTTATAGCTTATGCCTAAACAGCTTATAGCTTATAACTATGAACATAAGCTGATTTCTGACTAATAAATTAAGCATCTCCAGTCCCACTCAAAGAATAAGTTGATTTCTGACTTCTAAAAAGTTATAAGCTATAAGCTAAATCAAACACATCAAAATAATTTAAATTAAGCTGAAAGCTGAAATAAGTTGTAAGCTGAAATAAGCTGTTTTTAAGTTCTGCCAAACAGGCACGTTATGTGTTTATTTCTAAATAAATGATGGAGGAACAAACTGCATTTGGAATAAATCATAAGAGGTAAAAATGAAATTTATGAGAAAAAATTTGGTGAGTGATGATAAATTAGGTATCAAGTATTTTGCTGCAAATGTAAGAACAGTTACATATTTTTGTTGAAAGTTTTATGATTATAGGAGTAAAACTATGAAATGCACATTTTTAGGGGGTCTTTTGAATAAGTTTACATAAAATTGTATTAGAAAAGAGTCTTGTTATTTATACTCCATTTTGTTCTAAATACAATTCTTTCTTTATCTTTATTATACATAGTTATATTAATATCCTTTGAATTTTAGTTTTTTTAGAGAGTGTATTTTAACAAAGAATGAGTGTATTTAGAGCAAAGTAGAGTGAGAATAGTAGTTCCTTTAGAAAAATTGTACTAGAGTTCTTGAAACATCTTGGAGTTATTTGACAAATTATTCAGAAAATTTTCTAAAGATGACTTACTTCTAGCAAACATCAAAAAGTTATTCTTGCACAAAAATAAAAATAATAAGTGTTTTTTGAACTTATTATTATTTTTATTATCAAAAACACAAAAATTATAACAAAAGAGAGGAAACATAACCAGACTTTGCACCATTTGGTTGTTTTTGGAGCATCCACTACCCAAAACAAAACGAAATACACAGAAATATTATTTAAAAAATAAAAAAAATACTAGAATATTATTTTAAAACATTTAAAATAATAATATTACAACAGAGAGTGCAGCCAAAGTAACATGTTAACCTTACATTCTCATGACACACATATGTGCTTTATTTTTAGGACAAATTACATACATCTCTCGAGATTTAGTAAAATTATAGATATTCCCTTGAGATTTGAGAAATTACAGATATTCCTCTGAAGGTTATATTTGCATAACAAATTAGGGGACAAATTGTTATGAAAATATAAATCTCAAGGGGCAATTTGTTATGAAAATATAAACCTCAGGAGATATTTGTAATTTTCGAAACCTCAGGGGTATCTGTAATTTAACTAAATCTCGAAGGAGGTATATGTAATTTGCCCTTATTTTTATGATGTGACACATCATATTATTTTCATTTTTTAGGGTTTATTTAAGTCTAGCCTACATCTTCTTTTTCATATTTTGACCTGAAGATGATAATGAATCAATATGTATAGTTTTTTTGAGATACTGAAAAAATTTAACATGATAAAATTTTAAATCCAAACAGATAAAAATAATTAGATTCGAATTATATGGGAAAAAATTTGTGAAAACACTCTATTTAGAAGATAAAGAGTAGCATCAAAATCACAAAAAAAAAAATGTAGGAGTATTTCAATCAAATGTCTATGTCTTAGCCAAAACATTGTTTTGATAATTAAGCGTGGATGGTGATGAAGAATTTATATTTCTTCTGTTTTAATTATAGCAAACTTTTTTAGGGTAAATTACGCTAACGGTCTCTATAGTTTGGGACTTGTGTCACTTTGATCTCTGACTGTTCAATTGTGACACATTTGACCCTGAATTTTGAATTTTGTTCCAAATAAAGACAATTGAAGATATTATTGCTTAATTTCAAGGGAAAAATCGTTAATTTGATAAAATATAAACTAATTTGACAAAAATAAATGTCAAAAAAATATTTTTGAATTTCTAAAAATTATTTGTACCGACTAAAGATAAAAATATGTAAAATTGATAAATCTTTTAAACATTTATTTATTTTACCAAATTAATTTTTATTATGTATTCGATGATGATCATGTAATGGATACTTGTTTTTTATTTTCATTAAATTAGTTTTTATTTTTTCAAAAGCCAAATATGGCGACAACTTTGATATCATTATTAAACTAATTCATTAAATCAAAAAAAAAAAAAATCCAAAACTAAAAATATTTGATATATTAAACATATCGATTACACATTAAAATCCCAAATATTCACCCATTACATGATTATCATCCAAATACATAATAAAAAAAATTGGTAATAAATAAATAAATAAATGTCTAGAAGATTTATTAATTTTACATAATTTTATCTTTGGTAGGTAAAAATAATTTTTAAAAATTTAAAAATATTTTTTTGACATTTATTTTTGTCAAATTAGTTTATATTTTATCAAATTGACGATTTTGCCCTTGAAATTAAACAATGGTATCTTCAATTATCCTTATTTGGAACAAGATTCAAAATTCATGGTCAAATGTGCCACAATTAAAAAGTCACAGATTAAAGTGACACGAGTCCTAAACTATAAGGACTGTTAGTATAATTTGTCTAATTTTTTTATAAATCTACAATAGACAGATAATTTGGTTACACACTTTGCCAACAACAAAATTAAATTCAATAATCTAACAAAAGATAACTCCATTAATTTTTAAAAAGAGTAAAAATTCTGTCGATGAACATAATTTTGTTACAAATGCTATTCTACTCTTGCAAATTATGATAAATAACTCCTAAAATAAAAAAAGAAAAAGAGAAATGTCTCTGATTTGGTGTTGATGATCTATTTTTGGTTTGGAAAATACTATAAATTCTAAATTTTCTGTCAAATAAATGATCAAATATTTTACATAAATATAAGATATATGAGACATTTAATTATTTATTTAATAAAAGAATTAAAATCCCTCACATTACTCTTTTGATTTTCCACCATTTACAGGCCTAGTTTCACCACCTCATCCTTTGTCAACTGCCACACAATCACCCCATCTTATAAAACGTGTAAGCATAACTTTTGCAACATCCCCACATTTCTAGCGACAGGTATTTGCGTGACGGAAAATTATTGAGTATTTTTGGAGTACCACGTCTTTATGTTTTTTTTATTAATTATTATTTATTATATCTTTTTATATTCATGAATTACTTAATACAAAATCATGTATCTTACCTTTTTTACTAATCATTATACCACTACAAAAAAAAAGAGGGACTTTTTTTAGCAATGGATAAAAACCGTCGCTAAATATAAAAAATCCGTTGCAAAAAGTATTAGCGGTGGATGAGCGGTGGATATGAGGCATGGCAAAAACAAACATGACAAAAGTTTTTTGCGACAGATTAAAATTGTCACTATTTTTTTTGACGGATTTTCAACTCTTTTGTGACGGTTATTAAGGGTCAAAAAAAGTAAAAAAATATTTTTTTACGATTGCAGCAGTATTCGTCGCTAATAAGCCTGGTTCAAAATCAATTTAATGACAAATTTAGCAACAATAACACTAACTGTCGCAAAAACAATTATTATGAATTTTTTTAAGTAATTTTATTGAATTTGCTTTTCAACGACTAAACCATTATATAAAATTTTTGGTACGTGACCATATTCTAATAGTACCAAATAACTTTCCCGTACATGAGCACGTCTTCCAAACATGATACACTCTTCATTTAAGTGGTTGCCTTGGTTCATGAAAAGAAAAATAAACATAAATAATATATATATATATATATATCTATATAATAAAGGAGAAAGGTTTTTGAAAATTTATAAAATGTATCAGAGATACATTTTATATCAATGGCTGAGATAATTCCTATATACTATCTGACGCTTGAGATCATTTTTATCCTCATCCAAACACTCTCTGCTCTTTCTCTCTCCCACGTCTGCCCAAACACCTTCTCTTTAACTCCTACGTTCTCTTCTTGACTCCGTCTATGGTGGATCTCTCTCTCACGTTCGAAATTCTTTCTCTTCTGAAACTCTCAATTGAGATGATTCCTATATACTATCTAACGGTTCAGATCATTTTTATCTCCGCCTAAACACTCTCTGCTCTCTCTCTCTCTCTCTCTC